CATTTAGCTCTTTAGATACAATTCACGCTGTCATATCGCTTCGATTGTTGCACTGTTTCGATCATCACTTGAGTCGACAAGTTGAAGTCGTTACTTACGTCAAGGAACCAAGAACGGTTCGATGCGTAACAACTTGGAAAACAGAAAAATATGGTTAATAATGTTTAGAATGGCATTTTCCCGTACTTCGTGAGAACCCTTCTTTTTATGGAGTTTATGATGCGATGCTGATGTCTGTTTTTGCAACATCAGCCAGGAACACTTTATATTTTAATAACAATATCTACCATCTTAACTCTAGAAGTCAAACGATATGAACAACCTATCTGATACAGCTAACGTACTAATGGAGCAGAGAGTTAAAACGGTAGAAAAAGTGGATTATTTTAAATACCTCAGCTCTATCTTCCCAAGCGATTATGCCTTCCAGCCAGAGTTAAGTAAGAAGATCACCCTAGCCTCGACTGCCTTTGTTGACCTGCCCGACGTTCTGACGAAGAAAGGAGCAACCCTTTCTACAAAAGTCCGTCTTTACCTTGATTCGATCAGGTCACTATATTTGTGTGGCATTGAAATAGTTGTCATAGCGAGAGACTGAGCTGCTCGCAGCATCGCTGTTATAGACTCATGATGAGGGCTGAGTGGAAAGTCCACGTAACGAACGACTACATGCTATTCTCGGTAACTGTGTCTGTCGCAGATGCAATGATTTTAAAAATGAGGTAAACCCTGGCAGACTCATTCTGAACACTAACCATTTATTCCAACCAAAAGCGGCATAGTGTGTTAACCGAAACATGACGGGTGTAAAGCAGCATGTAACATCATTGAGCAGAGTAAAGATAGATCTAGTTTTGGAGAGGAATTGTTGCTTCTACGGTTCATTAACCGGCAGTGCTTCATGGTACAAGTGCTGCAAAGTCATGAATATAGTGCACATCAGAAAGCAAAGACGTTTTGCTTATGAAGACGGCTGACAATGACGATCTCTGCCCATACAAACATGTACAACTATATGACTTGCATAACTTGCATGTTTATTTCTGATGTTTCATTTCCCATAATGTGATTTTCGTTAATCTTTCTTCTAAGGAAGAAAGTCGAGCGGTCCTAGTGAGGTTAAAACACCGAGTCTCTTGACTGTGAGTTCAACGCTCTACCGATTGAACAACCTCTACTTACCGGTGACCATTCTTTGCAGAGAATGCCTAAGAAAGCAACGCTTTTCTGTAGATGTTTAGACAGTAGATGAAAGTCCTCAGTTTCTTCCATCCTCACGCATTATGCAAACTGCGTGAAACTTACTAGTTCCATGAAATGACGCTGCAACATTCATGTTTAAAGATATCGATTAAAAGTGGTCATTTTGATCCTCCGAAGTTGACCGAATTCTGACACCGTTTTTGTCAATGAGCAGATGATACCGCCGCATAATATTTTTGTGCTGTCGCAGTAATAATTTGTCGCCTGGGTTGTGTTCAGTGGCTAAGGACAAAAATATAGTTATAATGGCGCTACTGGTCATGGCGGATTATATTCTTGCCGTTCGTTAGGCCAGCCAAGAGGGTAAAGACTTGTCATGAACCTCGAAGCAGATTAATTATGCTGTAATAATTTGGGGTTTGTGTATGTCAAAACAGTTTTACCAAAAATGTGTTTAAGCAAATGACACAAAAATATTTGTGATAGCTGTCACAAAAAACAAAACTGATTGAATGAGTCTATTCGTCGAGCTGATGATCTTGACTCTTGACTTTAAACGAAACTCCACCCAATGATTGAGAGTGGACAGAACCGAATGTTGAATGTTACTCGTTCATCTTTAAAAGTTGGGGAACAAATTCATTCTTCATGTGGCTCATCTTGGAATAGCACATTGAGTACTTAACCGGGTGAACCAATCGATTTGAAAACTGACCAGTGCTCTCTCTGTCATAGAGCATGCCCGCTGTGAAGTGTCATTTAAGCTAAAACCCGTATAGGCGCATGACAAGCATACAGAAATTCTAAATTTGCGAGCGGTAAGAATTTCTCTTTTGAATTTGCCTATGATTGGACTGATTGACACCGCCGATTTGTTTATTTTAGGCCAAATCTCAGAAATACGGTAGGTCCCCGTATACTCGTTCAACTTACTCTCGATCCACGGCGGATGCCGTGTTACGGTCTTCATTGGAGCTACTGTAAAATGGCCTAGTATACGCATGTTTGAGCTTGCTGATCGTTCGTGCGACTGTTAGCGATTAACAGGTGCGTGAATGCAATTCAGCAATGTTTCCGTTACACTGAGCTGAACAGTTGACTTAGGGGCAGTTTGGAGAAGGCGCGATTAAAAACAAGTTAACGATCAGCGATTACGAAGCGTTTTTGCCGTTTTCGGTACGTCGTCGTTAGGGGCTAGGACCACCTTTCGTGCTAACCGGTTTCCATCGGTCACTTGAAGATGAGCCGAGCCTCGATGACTCATCGCTAGAGATGCCGTGGTCCCTTCCTCCCCATGAAGAACGAAGGTCGCACCGAACGTCGACCATGACCTGTCGTCTGAGTCTTATCCAGGACACCTCTAACTGGCTCAATTTGGTCAGAGTCAAGACGCGCCGAATAAAAGCAATTTTTTCTACAGTAACCCA